CCTTGAGCACATAACCTGTGGAATGGGACTTCATTGCATTCACTTGCCAAGCTAGGTCATAGCAGGTGGCCAGTTTAACCCAAGGACCTTCAAATATACACATGGCTCTATCCTCTGGAGTGTGAATGTAAATATTTGCATCAGGCATGCACACAGAGAGGTCAACCATATACAAGGATTAACCTCTGCCCAAGCTCCCAGTTGTTCATTTCCCGTTTCCAGATGCAGGCACGACTACAGAATCCATGTGTCCTTCTAGAGATCCTCCATTCACAAACAGTAGTCGTGTTTACATGTATATCACACACATACAGATCTGTATATACATATTATATAGCATATACAAATATAGACTCATACACCCCCATGAAATACACATTTTTAAATATAGGAAAACTTTTTGTACATGATCATTTCCTAAAGTTTCTTCCTTCCCTTCCCCCACCCCCTTTTTGGTTTTCCCGTGTTGGCCTTGACTTCTGGCTTCCCAACGCAATCATCTTAGATCCTGACCAGTTTCTTGTTCCAGTGGCAGGAGAAATCCCTGCTATATATTGTATTGCATTATCCTCTCTGGGAGAGTTTTAAAGCCCATGGCACTGCTGAGGAAACAGAGAATAAGGAACTTTGCAGGTATCCCACAGACCTTTCCAGACTGCTGTCGGTTGCAGATAGGTTGCAGATAACCCACGTCTTTATTCTTTCTCTGGGCCAGGCTGGGATGGGGTGGGGCTAGACCTGCCCTTCTCATGGTGCAGAAGCCGCAGGAGTTAATAAACATACAGTACAGGAGAAAGGAAAGGAAACTATTTCGGGTGCTTGATGACTAAACACCTATGCTTCAGATACGCTTGGTTTGTGTGACAGCAGCATAAGGTGTGACTGAAAGAAAATTAATGATCAGGAGGCTTGGGCACCTCCTCAGCGGAATGTTCAGAGTGCTTGGAACTAATTAAGCAGCCAGCACAGAACTGGGAAATAGAGGAGGGAGCAGGCTTCTTCGTGGTGGTCTGGGACTGCGTGTAGACCTACATACACTATTTTTGGTTTTCCCTATTAAGTACACAGAATGACATAATATTGAAACCATATCTTGGCAGCCTGCTAAAAGGGAATGACACTGGGAAGATGGATTCAACATTTGATTGCCTGAGCCCAAACTCACTTTTGACATTTCCTGTGCCCTCAGGCATGTTACTTAGTCTTTTCTGTTCTTCAGTTTCCTCATCTGAGAAGGGAACACTGCTTGGTAGGGAGGTTGTGAAGATGACATAAGGAAACAGCACTGTCCAGGCACCTGCTTGCACTCTTGAAAGCCTTTCTTTTATATTATGCTTTTTTGGGGTATGAGATTGGAGATTTTTCTGAGGTCGTATATTTTTAAAGCATAATAGCTCTTGCACGGTGACATATTTTAAAGGGAAAACTTGGACAGTTAGGGAGGAAATTACAGTCTGTTTAGTTGTATGTTTCAGGATAAGGTGCATTTGTGTGTGTGGTTGTATAGCATGCATTGTGAGGACATTTGCTGGCCTCTGTTTAGAAGGTGTTTGTGCAATATCTGAAGACAAAAGGATCCACTTGTCTCATTAGCTGGTACTTTTTGGACCCCAGGGGTTAGCGGGTTTCTTCCTTCCTTCCTTTCTTCCTTCCTTCCTTCCTTCCTTCCTTCCTTCCTTCCTTCCTTCCTTCCTTCCTTCCTTCCTTCCTCTCTCTCTCTCTCTCTGTATTTATTTATTTATTGGTGGTTCTATGGTACTGTTTTTGGATTAGTCATGATTGTGTGGATATGTTTTAGAAAATTGTTGACATGGATCCCTGTATCCTTTCTTTTTGAAAGTGTACACTGAATGATCACTAGCTCTGCCTAGATGCCAGGAGGTCACACATAAGACACAAGATACTTTAATGTGCTTCTGTTGCAGAGAGAGCCTTCTGCAGGGCTTAAAAATGACACCGGGTCTTGCAGAGGAAATTTTTTCCCACTTGCTGGGTTTCTGTAAATATGTGAGTTATGTGGTTATAAAACCTTACTATGGAAAATATGTTTAAAAAACAGTGCGCTCTGAGGAAGGAACCACAAAAGATGCTGTAATACATTTAATGCCCTAGTTAAATCTATCACCCCAGTCCCATTTTCTAGAGCTGGATAAACAGAACATCTTTCTCTTTCTATTTGAAGCTTCCAGCCCCCGCCTTCCCCAGCCACTTTACTGCATGACAAATGGAAATCTTATTTCCTGCTTCTGTAAACCTATTTACCTGAATGTCTGAGCTCACCCCTGTCTTTCTCAGGTCTAGCCTTTCTCAGATAGGCCTTGCTTTCATTTGCCTGCCTTCCCTGCCCTGATTTATTAAAGCTGTCTCTAATCCTATACTCCATGTACTCTAATCTACAATGTGGATGTCAACATTCTGCATGGCCACCTTTAAACATTCATCTCCCAGATTCACAGTTTTTCTTCCATTGTGAATTTAAATCCTCATTCAATGTCTTTATGAGTAGGGGGAAAAGTTAAAGAACCATTATCAAAAGCCATTTCTGCCAATTTTCAGTGCTTTACTGGATGTCTTTATTCTCTTTGGTGAGCCCATTATCTTTGTATGTACAGCTTTCACTCTAATACTTCTTCTGTGTGTATATTTTAATTTGATTTATTATAAACACAGAAGACTATTTGTCCCTATGCCGTTCCTGATCTTTTATTTTTAGAATTCAGGAAATCAATGATTTTAAAATAGGAAAAGAGTTATGTGTGTGCTTGAGTGAGTGCACCCGTGCAGATATCAGACTGTATATAACTTAGAAAGCCTAAGATTCTGTTAGCCCCTTTACAGAAAAGGTATGATTGTCCCTTACATATTTAACTAATTTAGAATGTGTTTCTTTGGGAGGCTCTCCATTTCCCCCAGCATTCTTTTTTTGGGGGGGTGGGGTTTCAAGAAAGGGTTTCTTTGTGGCTTTGGAGGCTGTCCTGGAACTAGCTCTTGTAGACCAAGCTGGCCTCGAACTTCCAGAGATCCGCCTGCCTCTGCCTCTGCCTCCCAAGTGCTGTGATTAAAGGTGTCCGCCACTACTGCCCGGCTCCCCCAGCATTCTTGAACAAGTGGGGATAGTATTAGAATCTGAGCTGGCTGGTTGGGAGAAGGCCCCAGCTCCTCCCTCTGTTCCTCCCAGTTAATGCTGTACTGGTTTTCTGTCTGTGAGAGGTGTGATTGGATCAGGGGCTCTCTGGGATGAACTCACACTGGGGTGATGTGATTCTCTGAGGGAAGCACCTGCCAGTGTTGGAGGGGAGCCTGGCCAATCCTGGTCATTGCTAACATGGCTTACACACCCTGGAGAGGATGCATTGGTCCTGCCCAGCCCAGGCCTTTCTGCTGCAGCAACAGGAAGGGTGATTGGAATGTACTTCCTATTTCTTAATTGAAGTGAGGAATAAAGTAGGCTGTAGTTAAAACAGCATCTACTCAAGGCCCAGTGAAACGTCTCAGTCATGCTGGTTGTTGTAGTGAAACATCTTTAGTTCTTCTTAAACATCTTTTGGCGTCTGCTGAGGAAAGTTGAACCAACCAGGGGTGTAACAAGCTTTTTCGTCGGACTACCAGCCCTCAAATAATGACATGGATACTTCTTACTAATTATGAAAGCTTGGCCTTAGCTTAGGCTTGTCTTACTAGATCTCAATACCGTAAATTAACCAGCTTTTATTAATCTACATTTTACCATGTGACTTTTTACCTTTCTTTCATTCTGTATGTCCAACTCCTTCCATGTCTCATTGGTGTCTCCTCTGCACCTCGATTATCTCCTCCTTCCTCTTGCTCTACCTCCTGCCTAGCTATTGGCCATTCAGCTCTTGATTAAACCAAACGTGGCAATATATCTTCACACAGTGTACACATATCTTACAACACGGAATTTCTGCTGTCTGATTGCTTGGAGCATACCTTATCATTGATGTGTGTGCCCCTACCAGAGTTCTGCTTTTGGCCTCTGGTGTCATAGGATGCTCTGGGCTCTCTTTGACCTTAACCTGCTGCCCTGTGCTGTTAAAGTTAAAGCTGTAGGCTCCAGGATGCTGTCCAGCTTCTGAGCAGCTGACTCTGCTTATGGAAACCTTACATGTCTCCTCCGATTTCTACTGTCTATAATTTAGCACTTTGAAGATGGTTTGTAATCTGTGGGGTGATGACTCGGGTTTCTTTGCAGACCTCAGTTGCTTCTTGGTCTATACTGAGGGAACATGACTGGGGGTGGGGTGGCAGAGCCAGGGAGGATAGGAGCAAAGTGTATCATCTGAGGACGTGCAGACTGGCTGCATTTCTTCTCTTAGCTTGTCCTGACTGGGATCTGTATTTCTCATACACTTTGTACACTGTAATTGCATCCTCTATATTTCTGGAGTATTTGCTTCCTCTAGAAAGTTTTATATCATAACGGTGTGCTAATTTGTTCCCAGGTTCATTTGGGGGTTAAGATACTAAGGGAGCCTGCTCAGTGAATGGTTTGGGGTTGGCTGGGGTTCAGAGTGGTAGAGTAGACAGGATCAGAAAAGAGAAGTGGTTCCAGGGAGCATTGTGGAAGCGCAGTCCGGGTCTTTCATTGGCAGCCCTGTCCGTATTGGAGGAGCAGACTGCAGGCTCTAAATCCACAGAGCTCCTGGCTTTGGATGCTGCTCCACTGATACCCACAAAAGCCCAGTAACCCCCTACTTGTAAGTGCGCTGAAACCAGAGTGTCTTGTGGATCATGACTTTCTGTGGCAGTTGAGTGGAACAGAAAGGGCCTTCCTGCCACATTCATTGATGCTTCCATGGTAAAGTTTGAGTTTCTCCTGTAAGCAATGGATTTCAAGAGTGATAAGGGAAATAATTTAAAAGAAATTGGGTATTCTGGTATGTGGGAATTATATTCTAAAAATGTAGCTCTTAGAAATTAAAGTCTTATCAACTTGTTGTGGGTGGTGTTGTAACCTAGATGTCATCTCTCCACTCCAGGCAGTGACTTTGGTTCAGAGACACCCACCTTGTCCTCCAGTCACAGTGGTGACTCTCCCATGAGCGGTCTTCCTACAGCAGAAGATACCTACCGTGTGAGCTTGGCCAAAGGGGTTTCCATGTCTCTTCCTTCATCACCTTTGCTGCCTCGACAGTCCCACTTGACACAATCAAGATCAAACAAAAAATCTCCAGGTAAAGAAAAAAAAATTCCCAGTATCTACATAAGCTATATTGGTTATTTAATATATACATTAAATATAAGTAAGAGCAGTGAGTGTCTATAAGAAATCTGGGAGAGCCAGGTATGGCCACGTGTGCCTATTATCCCAGCACTGAGCTAGCTGGAACAAAATTCCTTGAGCCCAGGAGTTCTAGGCTAGCTTGGGCAACATAGTGTTCATCTTCAAAAAATACATCTTTTAGAAGAATTGTTTTTCAGTGTTCAAATAACTTTTAGAAGAAAGGAACTTTTTTCTAAAAGGATTTATTTTTATTTGTGTGTGTGTGTGTGTGTGTGTGTGTGTGTGTGCGTGTGCGTGTGCGTGTGCGTGTGTGTGTGCGCGTGTGCGTGCGTGTGCGCCTGTGTGGGTATGTGCATGTGGGAGTTTGGGTGCCCTCAGACCAGAAGTTGTTGGATCTCTTGGAGCTGGAGTTATAGGTGGTTGTGAGACACCTGACATGGGTACTGGGAATTGCACTCACGTCTCTGCAAGAGCAGTAGGTACTCCTAACTGCTGCTGTCCAGGCAGAGGGGGGTGGGATCAAAGTATTTTTATCTACCTCTCTATATAATGATAAACTGCCCAAGATAGACTTCCATAGATTCAAGATCTTGATATAAGAACTCTTGTTCACCATTGGCTTTGCCAGTTTTTCCCCTGGTGAATCGAGGAACACTCTCTCTTACAAGACACCCCTAAAGTTATGGATGCAGGCAGATGTCATGGACTACAGTCTGTTCATTACTACCAAGCCTTGTGTATTGAAACTGTTTGCCTGCTGACATCATCCAGCATTGGAACAGCTCTGAAGTTTAATTTCTGATGAAGAGTCAGACTTGTATAACAGGGCAGGGGCCATGGCTTAGGGACTACTTGTATAAGATATCTTGACCCCTTTCCTCATTGCCAGCTTCATACACTTGCTGATACTGAAAAGTAAAACAAGTAGTAGTTGGCCATAAGAGGCTGGGGTTCAGATGTGAGGAAAACCCCTCCTGTGCTTACTGCTGGGGTCCTCACAGTTCTTTGATATTCTTTTAAATTGGCTGAATATTTGCTTACAAAAGGCAGGGTAATTTGGTTTCCCATTGATCATGTGCCAATGAAAATTCTTCTCAATTACATGGGAGCACATTCAGAGTTCATCTAGATTGTGCCCCGGGCTATGAAATTAATTAGTTTCTGGTTTCCTAAATATTTGTGTAACTTGAAATGGCATATGCATTATTTGTGAGTCCTTTAGTTGATGTTTGAGATTTTTGTATGGTAAACTGTAAGAGGGAAAACCCTGAGGTATTATATGTTAGAAATGGTGGTGTGAATTTGGTGAGTAGCCAGAATCTTTCATTGTTCCAGAACTTTCTTATTTTGGACAGCATTGTTTACAGTTCAGTCATTAGCTGGAACTTGGGAACGTTTTTTTGGTATGAAGTGATTTCCTGTGCCAAGGAATTTGACCTGTTTATCAGTATTTAGGGAAATTCCAGGAATGTCCTTTGCTTGCTTCACTGCTGTATCTCTGTGTCAGATGTCTTTTCTTCCTTCAAATCGTGTTTCCCACAGGGTCTCTCTTGCTAGGTTGCCCTCTTGGGAATGACCGTTCCAATTGCATCTCTTTCCTGATTTAAGAAATGTCGTTTCACTCTAGGCTAGTGAGTTTATCAACAAAACCTTTTTGCGTTGCCAAATTTCGGACTCATGAACCTTAAAACCCAGATTTAGATTTAGCCAAGAAACCTGTTATGTCAGTTTAATGGGGAAGCCCTGTCCCCACTCCCAGCTCTGCTCTTGTTCTCCTCTGCCTTCATCCACTCCCCAGGTGATACCCGATCATCTGGCCTAACTTCAGCAAGAATTCCCTCCTTATTCCTGATGTTTCCTCTTTGCAGTTTTCCATCCTCTGCCCTTCCCATTTACCTTGGCTGTACTAATCCCATTTGGCCATGCAACTTTCAGAGCTGAGCCTAGTCTTTCCTTTTCTGAAAAATTCTGCTGCAGGTGGTCCAACACCCACCCCTGAATTAAATGTGCCTTCCTACACTTTCACAAGTATCACAGAATAATGCTTTTTCTTTAATATTCTGCACTTCACATAACTGCTGCTTTAGGGCAAGCAAAATGTGTTAGCCGAGTGTGCTGAACAGGGATTATTCAGGGCCTGTTTCTTACTGAGGAACCTCAGTTGAAGGTAATGCCAAGCACAGAGATTTGACTTTCTACCATGCATTTGCTCAGACAATGAATTGCTATTGCTTTTGCCCCAGGGCTGGGCATCATCTGAGACTCCAGGGAATACTACATTTCAGACATAATTTTATTACTGATGGCAACGTCAGTGTCTGTTTGGGACTTCCTGTAGCATTGGCAGGCAAGCCTGGGTAACATGACTGTCCTGGAGAGTTTCAAGAGAACTCTCTTCATACGGGCAGATATATCCTGAGCACTTTGTCCCTATTCCTGGGCCAATATCAGATAGTTTTATAAATATCCCAAAGTTTTTTTCTATTATAAAAATGAAATTTATCTAAGTTCTTTGGTCAGTCTAATGGACAGAAAGATGTAGCTGTCCTCCTGAATATTCAATATTTTGATAGATTCAAGAAAATACCTTCCATTTTAGATGCCTTTGTTCAACTGAGCAGATCCATGCTAGCAGAACAGTTCTTGTGTACTGCCTAAACCCACGTGCCAAATTAGTGTCTCACAGTGCTGACTGACATCATTATCTTAGTAATTTTAACTTAAAAAAATGAAAGGCAGAGATGGCTGCTTAAGAATTACAGTGGTTCACAAGACACAAAATAACATTTTCATAGTTCCTAACATGTTTCTGCTTAGACCATATTATTGGAAAAGTATCCAAAGTGCTAATGTCTTACCGGCCTGCTTTCCTTCCTTCCTTCCTTCCTTCCTTCCTTCCTTCCTTCCTTCCTTCGCTGACATATGGCAGTTGAACATGCACTGGCTTTAAAAATATCCATCTATTTTAAAACTAGCACTATTGCTACTAAGGATACAGTAAATACATTGTACCTGCAATTGTACCCATCTTACCTCCCTTGTGACCTGTGCGCCCCTGACTGTCATTCAGGCCTAGCATTCAAATTACCTTGCTAACTTTTGTTATGATTTGTTATATTTATGAAGTTGCTTTTAAAGGATACCAAACCTTGGAATCAGGAGTTTGTGGCCAGCCTGGCTACACATAGCAAGATCTTTTCTCCACAAACAAACCACTCAGAATCTCCAAACTGTTTTACTTGCTTGTATAGAAACACTTCATGACTCGATGCTAATCAAACTTCAGGCGGTCAGTACACATGGTTGTACATTTTGCTTGGAAGAAGGAATGGGCAGATGCACAGTTCTTTCCTGATTCGTAGGCTGTAGCTAATGTTTTGGCTGGAGGGTGAGGAACTTAGAAAGAGCATGATTGGAAAAATTGGTGAGAAAGACATTTGAGGACTATGGTGGTTTCAATGAGAATGGCCCCTATAGAGTCATATAATTGGTTGGTCCCCAGTTGTTGTAACTGTTTGGAAAGGATTAAGAGGCATGGCCTTGTTAGAGGATATGTGTCATAGAAGGAGAGCTTTGAGGTATCAACAGCTTTCTCTACTTCCTATTTGTTGATAAGGGTGTGAACTTTCAGCTACTTCTCTAGAGCTTGTCCTCCTGCCATGCTCCCTGCCATTAAGGTTCTAACCCTCTGTAATCGAGAGTCCCAAATTTTAAACAATTTCTTTTGTAAGTTGACTTAGTCACAATGTTTTGTCACAGCAGTTGAAAAGTAACTAAGACAAGGAAGAAGTATGTGGATAGATCTCTTTGAGTGGGCAAAGGATACTTGTGTCTCATAAAAATGCTCATTAAAAGGTAACTTTGGCAGAGTAGGAGTTCAGTAGTCAAGTAGATGGGATGACTATTCTGTGGACAGTCAGCCTCTTTCCCTGGCCATCTCTCCTTGCCCAATGGGCCCATGAACAGAGTGGACATGGTGGTAGAGATTAAAGTCATGCATGGGCTCGACAATATGCACTTGCACTCAGTAAGGCTGACCTGGCTACAGCTGCTGATGAGTGACAGCTCTGCCAAGAGCAGAGACCAACGCTGAGCCCCAGATTTGGCACCATTTCCCGGGGTGACCAGCAAGCAATTTGGAGGTGGGTTGACTACACCGGACCACTTCCTTCATGGAAAGGGCAATGCTTTGTCCTTACTGGAGTGTATACCTTAAAAAACAAACAAGAAACTGTCAGAGACTGGAACTGCTATTCCATCATGAGTCAGCTGCTGTATCTATAATTAGGCACCTTGAACAACATAACTTCATAACTTTCATTCATGAAAATGTGGGTTAATACTAGGTGACTATCTAGATCCTGTGGGCAAGAGATAATATCATTAAAACTAGGTTGGGTGTCACATGCATGTTAACTGCCACCTGTGGAAAACAGAGAAAGGAGACTGGCACAGAAATTCAAAGCCAGCTTGGTCTACATAACGAGTTCCAGGCCAACCAAGGCTACAATGCAAGACTCTATCACAAACAAACAACAAACAGATGGCATTAACCTTGTGTTGATGTAAATTTTATATAATTGAGTTACTCATTTTAATCACTTAGTTTTGGAAGTACTGAGGATTGAACTCATGGCCCCTTTAGTGCTAGGCAAGGGTTCTGCCACCGAGCTATCTATGCAACCCCCACTAACCCCCACTTTATATTCAGAGTTATTGGTATTTACCCTTCTGCAACCTTCCTTATTTATTTGTAATTTATTCCACTGCTTGCTAGACTATTCTACTTTCTGGGTATTGTTTTACTTTTTGATACTATTCTAACTGGAAGATCCATTTTATCACAATCGCAAACAAGGACCTAGATCCATTGAGATACTTCTGTGGTTGTTGTAAGCCTGATGGGACGAGGAATTCCCCAGTGTCTCCACTGTATCCTTTTTCTTTTCC